GTTTGGGCCTGAAGTTTTTTATTGGAAGGTTTTAACTACAAATTTAATTTCTTTAATAGATGTTGGGATATTCAGCTTATCTGCTTCTTGAGTGACCTTTGCTGATTTCAAGAAATTTGTTCATTTCGTCCAAATTGTTGGCATAACAACAACAAAAATTTATTGGCATGAAGTTATAATATTCTCTTATCATTTTTAACATCTGTGGAATCTGTAGTGATGCTGGTATTACATGACATTGATAATTTGTGTCTTCCCTTTCTATTTCTGATCGATTTGACTAGAGGTTTATCAAATTTATTGATCTTCCCAAATAACCACCTTTTGGTTTCACTAATTTTTTTTTTATTTTTCTGTTTTCTTTTTTCTTTTTTTGGTTTCTTGTTTGATCTTTATTATTTACTTTGTTCTACTTGGCATTTACTTTTTCTCATTTCTTAAGGTTGAAATTGAAATTATTGATATGAGACTTTTATTTTTCCTAGTATAGGTATTTAGTGCCATAAATTTCCCTCCCAAGTGAAGCTTCTGAGTTCTCTGTCCAATGCCCTGTGCATTATGAGATTTTCCACTCTAGCTGGTGGGAAAGGCACTATTTCCGGCTCTGCAAAAGCTCGAAGGGTTGTTCCCAGTAATCCTTTTGGGACATTCTTTCCTTGGCCTCTGGTCACGTGTGCTGGTCAGTACTCAGCTGAGTTCTCCAAGGGGGTTGTCTGCAGTTCTCCAGAGTTCTCTCTCTTTGCAGCTCTCATCTGTCTAGTACCCTGCCCTGAGAACTCTAGCCACCTTCGCCTTCCAGACTCAAAGCTTCATCTCTGTCAACTCAGGGAAACCACCAGGCTCTGCCTGGGGTCCCCTTCCCTGTGCCACAGCCAGGAAACTCTCATCTGTAAGCTGAGGCAGTCACAGGGCTCATATCTTTTGTTTCTCACCTCTTAGGGATCACTATTTTTTTGTTGCTTCTTGTTCAATGTCTTGAGAATTATTGTTTTGTACATTTTGTTTGGTTTTTTAGTTATTTCAGGTGTCTGAACTGTTTTCACTCACAACACTTCTGACACGAAATGTGTGGGGTTCTTTTCTGTACTAACAACCAGTTCTCCAACTCTCCAGACACCAGCTGGGTGTCCTAAAATTCAATTCAATTCAATTCTTACACTACCTACCTGAGTTAGTGTCAGACTCCTCAGGCTTAAGGGTTCAGTCCCACAATACTGCCTTCACTTTAGATACCAGTCACAAATATTGGGTGCCTGGTGTACCCACACTTCTGCCTGACCAGGCTACAACTCCCCCCTTTCAGGTTCAGTAATTTGCTAGAATGGCTCACAGGACTCAAGAACACTCTTACATTTACAACTCAGGAACAGCTAAATGGAAGAGATACGTAGAGCGGGGTATGGAGGAAGGGCTGTAGAGCTTTCATGCCCTCTCTGGGCACACCACCCTCCCAGCACTTTGATATGTTCACCAGCCTAGATGCTCTCTGAACTCTGTTGTTTAGGGTTTTTATCAAGGCCGCATGATGTAGACATGATTGATTAAATCATTGGCTGTTGATGATTGACTCAATCTCTAGTCCCTCTCCGTGGGCAGATTTGGGGGAGAGCTGAAAGTTTCAATCCTCTAATCATGCCTCTGTCTTTCTGGCCCCCAACCCCAAGCTGTCTATGGGCCCCCAAACACCAGTTATCTCATTAACATAAAAAAGATACTCTTATCACTCCAGAGATTCCAGGGGTTTTAGGAACTGTGTGCCAGGAACCAGGGACAAAGAACAAATACTTATTTTTTATTATATCACAAGATGGAAGCATAAATCCA